ATACAATAATGTTTAAGAAATGTATCAAAAAGTTACATGTAAGTAGTTGCTTTTTGAATAAAAGTAAGATATAATAAGGGCATCATAAGACCAACAATTTTTCTATTTTTGTTATAAAATCTAAGTTGACAGTCAAAGCATGTATGTGCTAAATGTTTGTAATCTAATCTATGAAGACTTTCTTCTTCTTTTTTGGTGTTTATCTGTTTCATCTTTTGCTTCCTGAAAATTATACAAACATTGAGAGAAAAAACTTGAGAAAAAATCATTCAATCGATTTATGAGGTGCACTCAAAGATCTTTTTTCACTAAATTAATTCTATACTATTATTAGCTAAATATAATAGTAACTGGAAATAGGGTAGAAGTAACTGGAAATAAGGTACATGTAGAAGTAACTGGAAATAAGGTAGAAGTAACTGGAAATAAGGTAGAAGTAACTGGAAACAAGGTACTTCTTATGGTTTCCAGTTACTGAACATGGTACAAATTACAATCAGAGATTGGCTGGATACATCATGAATAATYAATGAGTATGAGAAAGATTGTTACAATAACCTATTGCGTTCAGTTGGTATCTAATCTTGTTAACAGATCCTGACTGGTGTAGTTTTAARGCAGAATTAGATGGYACAACTTTTGCATCCAACCATCAAATACAATCTGCATAAGTCATCATACAACATGGCTATCACTGTCATAGGAATTTAAAAAATATGCTCAATAGCCCTACAACAGTTGTAGCCATATCGACGACTTATGCTGCAGGTCACATGGAATGGTTGTGCCATCTAATTTAGCCTTTGTGGCATTTTTAACTCGAAGATTGCGAAGCAATCGAAGAGTTATAGGAGGATCGAGATGAGGGGGATGATGTGTGAGGTGGACTAGTTAATAGGTCACTAATTTTTTTTCTGTAAACATACGGGCATTTAGAAATCCGTAACCAAGATGGCCAGGTGTTTTGAAAAAGAAATGGCTTTTTAAACACACAAAATGTGATTTTTGAGGTCTGGAAGTTCTTGTATAAGAATCTGTTGATTTCAGAAGTCGTTTTAGGAGATATCATGTGAATATGGCTCATAAATACAGCATTGCTATTACGATGATTTCAAGGATTATTCCGATCCACGCCAATTAGTGATTTAATGCTCATCGATTTATATAAACTTTATCCTTCGTAAGAGGCTTTATACAGACTTATGTCCAGATTTATTGTCTGACAATCTTCGAGTTGTGTCGCCATTGGCGGCTTGATTATGTCTTTATTACCTGTGTCTCTTTATCTTCATTTTCAAGCTCTTTAAACTTATCATGCTTCCACGTTAGAGGGCTTCGTTCCCGCTGCCTCCAAGAAGATTGACGTGGTCTTTGCTACATATGAATAATGATTGAAACGCACACGTTGTTAAATGGGTTTTTAAAAAGGATGGGAAGGATGAAATCTGAATGAATAAACAAGAAAAAATTGAAGAACAGAAAAATGAATGATATGAATTTGAAACAAAAAAGAGTGAGAGAGAAAATACTTTCATTAAGTTTTACTTTAAGTTCTTGATTACCTGTTTGTCATCGTTTTCAAGCTCTCTAAATCTATCATGCTTCCAAGCCGGGCTTCCTTCCCTCTGCCTCCATGGTTGCCGTGGACGTTGCTTAAGATAAAAGAATGAACRCATGAATGAACTTTTGAATGAATGAATGAATCTTAACACTGCTTGATAAATTTTAGTATTATAAATAGTTGTTGATAAATTACATCTATGAAGAAAGTCGAGTTTTTCATGCTAACTACGCAAATTACTTCAGAAACAAAAGGATGAAAAGTGAATAGAAAATGGAACGAATCAGGAAAATACATTACAGGGCTGTCAAATCTATCAGATAATCCAAGAGTCTCAAGATTTTGGGCTGTATCCCCCAGTCTCAAGAATTCAACATACAATCTTCTGGTTTTTCAGGAAAATGGAAAACATGCTTTTTACGTACATTTATAATTACAATATTTATAATTTATATTTACATTGGTAAATATATAATGAAGCAAAGTGAAATATCATGGTTTGTAACTACAGYCAACTCTCACTATTATCAAAACCCTCGGGACCGTAATTTAGTGTCCGCAGTAGCGAGAKTCTGTAATAACAGGAGTTACTTTTAGTCAATTCTTTGTATTTTTCACCAGGGAAAATTCAGTATCTTTTACTGTCTGTAATAGCRAGGTGTCAGTAAGGCGAGTGTTGACTGTATTTTTGTTTTAGTTCGGTATTGAAAAATCTAAACAAAATGGTGGATTTATAAATGTCAAGATTTGAAATTGCCTTGGGTTGACAGACATGCAATCTTTATTATGATTAAAAAACTCACCGATCTGTTTCTTCTTTGTTCGTCTTCAAAATGGTCATGCTTCCAAACTGGACTACGAGATCTTTGCCTGGGAAATGATCTTCTTCTGYTGATGTTGTTGAACTTTTGATTACCGTAAGCTGACTCACGATCATCATGCTGACAAATAAAAACAATGGAATGTTATTTACAGAGACTTATTCAGTCGTTCAACTGGCTGTTAATGGGGTATATTTTTCTTCAGTAATATAGTTGTGCTGCAATCATTGGCAAAGAACCAAAATAAATGGGGGCTCATTTGATTTTTCTTATTTTAGGAGTGGGGGAGAGTGGGTGTGCATTTTTGACTTGTTGCTTTAAATGAAATAAATACCACCCCCTCCAGTCTCCTCAATGGCAAAACTAAGAGACATGGACTTCCTTTCTTTCTGGTGSCAGCCAAAAGAGGGAGAATGGGATTGAGAGAGGGAAGCACTAGTTCCTAGTGATGTACATGACAGTTACAAAGGGATCCTGAAGGAGGAAATATTAGAGTTGCCTAAAGAGGAGGCTAGCCCCCTTTTGACAATAATTACACAGTCCTCAATAATGATAATGATGATAATAGTGATGATATCAACCAGAATCAACTTACCTCAAAATACCGATTTCCTCTAGGAACATCACGTGGATCTGTGTTTATTTCAATCATTCTTGGCTGTCGCYGTCTCTCTCGATCTCGCACAAGCCCCAGTCTCTCTTTAACTGCCAGTTGATCATTTTGCCAATTTCTTCTGGGTCTGTTCTCATTGCTAATGGAATCATTGGTTGTTCTTTCACTGCGAGAATTAACTCTGTCATCATGCTGTTGATAATCTCTGTTGTTGGTTCTGTTTTTGCTGCTTTCAACATCTGGACTTCGGTTTCTTTCTCTTTATTAAAGAATAGTAAAATACAAACATTAAATTTAATAATTTAAATAATTTTTGATCACACTTGTATCAGTCTTGTTACCAGATTCCACACTTTTGACATCTGGCGAAAGTCAATGCGGAGAGACTCTGAGGAATGCCTTATGTCTGATGATCTTCCTTAGACTTAGTACATGCTATTTTATATTGGTAATAATAATGCAAAAAGATTTTCTGAATGAATGAATGTTACATTAAAGTTTGAAAAATAATGTTAGCGCGGGATCCCTGTGGTATCCAATATGGTGACGAAATTTCACATACCGAAATCTTTATACAAATTTTGTCAAATTGACGCTTTTTATCTCATACACTAACTATTGTTCATATCTTAATGTGTGTTTAGGTTTATGTTACGAGTAATTCCACGCTGAAAATGATTTTTTTGTTGCTAGTTCCGTACGATCTAGAAAGCAAGCCCCCATTGTTTTCATTGACAAAGGAGGTGCATGTAGCTAGATTTATCAATACAAAAAAGAAACAATATAGAAACAAAATAATATTAATATAACTTGGGAGACATTTTGCTATTCATTTCCTTAAGAGGGACAACTTGTAAATAGAACAGTCGATCTCTCCCGCTAAAGCTGGCACGCGCGCGAAAAATGACAAGACTGACATTATGCTAAACTTCAAACCATTTTTCAGCTCTATTCTAAGTTTTATGACTTGTTCTTTAAAACACACTGTAACATGGATTTTATTAATTAGATTSTGTGATTGTTTTACCTTCTCTCCCGTCGATTTGAGCGAGGGATGACTACTGTTGAAGATAGACGACTTTTGGACGAGCGCTCCGCCATCTTGGATAGAAGTATAAGATTGCAGTGCATTATGGTAGTTATTCTACCCTCCCCTCCCCTCCTTTCCCCTCCCCTCCCCCTGTGGATCTTTTTGTTCTAAAGGCGCAACTGCATGACAACTGCGTTTAACAAGTTAAAACAAGAATTATTCTCTCGAGTGACTTTTGGTTAACGAGGCAATCCACGCAGTTTCATTTGGACATCATAAAGAATACTAAGCAGCCCTCTCGAGAAAGATTACCAACTACAAATTGAGGATCAAAAGTCTCTAAAAGCTGAAAAAGGTAGTAAAACTTATAAAATCACTTTCAAAAATCTACGTTAATTCATAATGAATTGATTTTTTTGATCCAACTGATTCTTCCAAATGTTTTTCGACCACGCTACATTTGTAATTTTGYCCAAATGTGRAAAAACGACTGGGATCCAATTTTAGAAATATAAACCKTTTTTAGTGATTTTTTCCCATTACCCAGCGCAATTTTGTAGTGATTGTGTTTTTAAAAAAAGCTTTAGTTAATCTTTAAATTATGATATTGATTGCTACTTTTTTGTTTTTAAATAATATTAGAAGCATTATATATATACTAAAATAAAAAATAACATGATATATGCAACTGTTAAAATTAGAGACTAAGAAATGTTTGATGTCTCGGGCATTCAGGCTCAAGTCTACTGTACGATAGTTTGGAGATATGGCTTTCGATATTGATAGCTTTAAACWCACACTATTATTATATAAATATGCTCATAAAATGTACTGAACTAATACTAAGTATTGCATTTAGTTTCTGTTTATTTAACATTTTTATTTTATTTTTGTAGAAAATGAATTCTTTGATGATTGCAATCTTGTTCAGTYTCGTTGTTCCACCGATCCGCGTCATGTCAGCCAACAAGCAATCTAAAATAAACGTAAGTTTCATAATATATTGTCACTATATAATATTCGCGGTAATTCTTTTATTTCATTTTATTTAGTTTATTTTTAATTTTATGAAGAAAAGAATCGAAATAGACTAAATTACGCGATGTACTCTTTTAATGAATGTTATCATTTTATTCTTTAAGTAAAAAGAACAACATGACTTTTAGCTATTTTTTTTTCTTTGTCAACTGAACGATGTTTAAACAGAACAATAAGCAATATCGGATGTTCAAAACTATATGATTTAATGTTAAAAACTTTTTTATTTTAAGATAAAAATGCATAAAAATATCACTATTATATGAAATAATGTTAAAATATTAAGCTTATAAAAGGTACGGATCCTTGACTTGGCCGCAAGCCACAAGGTCGTTGACTATAGAGTTGCGCTTGTGTTTTCTCAAAACTAGTCTATTCTTTYKAAGTCATGGTATGACTGAGTGTTATCAGATAGGAACAAGGGAAATTCTCTTTCGGGAACGAGACATCGATTTGTCGTATTCTGATTGGTTGCACTAAAATAATTAAAACTCAAWCCAGCCAATCATGAGCCCTGAATTTAGACCGCCTGCGGCAAAGATAAGATGTATTACGATGTACGAACAAATAACATTATACCTTAATATCCACCTTTATACTTTTGTATTAACAGTTACCTAGATTGTAATTTTCAATTTTATACATTGTAAAGATCTTAAAGTTAAGGTTTTGAAAATCAATTTAAAAAATTATTACTATCTTTATTTTTTTATTTTCTTTTAGTTTCCATAATTGTAACTAAATTCACATCTAAAATGTATGTAATAAATAGAGGATATTACATGTGCGCGCGGAGATACGGATTTTATCTTCGAGTGCTGAAGAGATWTTTCACGAGTGAAAGTAGCCGSAACGAGTGAGAGATTTTCAACASGAGAAGATGGAATTCGTATCTCMAAGCGACCATGTAATATTCTGTTTATCATATAATTAAATATAACAGCAAATTATGTCGTAAAATACCTTTTTTTTCTTATTTCTATTATACAGAGAAACCTCGAATGTGTTATTTTCACCTATTGTGAATTGAAACGGAGAAATGAAACGAAGTGAAATGGAGAAATATAGATTTTTCATAGATAATTCAATATGATAAAAATAATAAAACTATATCATGCATGATGATTACATTATATAATATCATTATGTTATATATAGCAGTCCTCCTGTCCACGTCCCACCACTCTGGCAGGCATACCTGGAATACCTGGTGCCCCTGGACGTGATGGTCGCGATGGACGTGAGGGTATTCAAGGAAAACCTGGTCCCCAAGGACCTGCTGGACAACAAGGAGCAACAGGAACTCCAGGGAAAAGAGGAAAAACCGGCGCACGTGGACCTAAAGGACCTAAAGGAGATCGTGGACCTGTGGGACTGTCCTCTCGTTCCAACTGGAAGGAATGTGTTTGGAAAAGCATCAACGA